TGGGGAGGACCAGAGATCTCTTCAAGAAAATTGGAGATATGAAGGGAACATTTCATGCAAAGATGGGCATGATAAAGGACCAAAATGGCAGGGACCTAACAGAGGCAGAAGAGATTAAGAAGAGGTGGCAAAATTACACAGAAGAAATATACAAGAAAGAGCTTAATGTCCCTGATAACCATGATGGGGTGGTTACTGACCTCGAGCCAGACATCCTGGAATGCAAAGTCAAATGGGCCTCAGGAAGTCTGAGCAACAACAAAGCTAGTGGAGGTGACAGTATTCCAGCTGAGCTATTCAAAATCTTAAAAGATGATGCAGTAAAAGTGCTACACTCAATAGGCCAGCAAACGTGGAAAACTCAACAGTGGCCACAGGATTGGAAAAGGTCAGTTTACATTCTGATCCCAAAGAAGGGTAATGCCAAAGAATGTTCAAACTGCCGCACCATTGCACTCATTTCACATGCTAGCAAAGTTATGCTCAAAATCCTACAAGCTAGGCTTCAGCAGTTTGTGGACTAAGAACTACCAGAAGTACAGGCAGGATTTCGAAGAGGGAGAGGAACTAGAGATCAAATTGCCAACATACGCTGAATCATGGAGAAAGCTAGGGAGTTCCAGAAAAATGTCTATTTCTGCTTCATTGACTATGCTAAAGCCGTTGATTGTGTGGATCACAACAAATTGTGGCAAGTTCTTAAAGAGATGGGAGTACCAGACCATCTTATTTGTCTCTTGGGAAACCTATATGAGGGTCAAGAAGCAACAGTGAGAACTGGACATGAAACCACTGATTGGTTCAAAATTGAGAAAGGAGTTCAGCAAGGCTGTATACTGTCGCCCTACCTATTTAACTTATATGCAGAGCACATCATGAGAAAGGCGGGGCTAGATGAATCACCAGTTGGAATTAAGATTGCTGGGAGAAAGATCAACAACCTCAGATATGCAGATGATACCACTCTAATGGCAGAAAGTGAAGAGGAACAAAAGATCCTTTTGATGAGGGTGAAGGAGGAGAGCGCAAAAGTTGGCTTAAAACTCAACATTAAGAAAACTAAGATCATGGCATCCGGTCCTCTCACTTCCTGGCAAATAGATGGGGAAGAAATGGAGGTAGTGACAGATTTCATTTTCCTGGGCTCCAAGATCATCGCAGATGGGGACTGCAGCCAAGAAATTAAAAGACGCTTCCTCCTAGGAAGGAAAGCTATGGCAAATCTAGACAGCATACTAAAAAGCAGAGACATCACCCTGCCAACAAAAGTGCATATAATCCAGGCTATGGTTTTCCCAGTTGCAGTGTATGGCTGTGAAAGCTGGACCATAAGGAAGGCTGAGCACCAAAGAATTGAGGCCTTTGAACTGTAGTGCTGGAGGAGACTCCTGCAAGTCCCTTGGACCGCAAGGTGATCAAACTGGTCAGTCCTTGAGGAGATCAACCCTGACTGTTCTTTAGAAGGCCAGATACTGAAGATGAAACTCAAATACTTTGGCCACCAAATGAGAAGGAAGGACTCCCTGGAGAAGAGTCTAATGCTGGGAACAATAAATGGCAAAAGAAGAAGGGGACTGCAGAGAATGAGGTGGCTAGATGGGGTCACTGAAGCAGTTGGTGTGAGCTTGAGTGGACTCCGGGGAATGGTGGAGGACAGGAAGGCCTGGAGGAATGTTGTCCATGGGTTCGCAATGGGTCAGACACGACTTCGTGACTAACAACAACAAAACAGCTGTCAAGGGAAAGCAAAGTGTAAAATAAAGCTCTTTGCAGTTTCTCTGGGCCAAGGCATATGGTAAGTTCCTTCAGTACTTCGCCAGCAGATATCCCCTGGGCATTGGCAGAATGAAGCCTGTCATTTTGGACCCAAGGATCCATATATATGTTTGAAAACATTTGCCTAAATTTCTTGAGCTACTTTTTTAAAAGGGGTGATCAACCAGTGACAGTTCTCCTATGTGTCGCTTTCACTACCTGACAAATTAGACCTTGCAAAAAGCAATCTTTGGTAGGGAAAGGATAAAAGTGGGGGAGCTACAGAAAGGACAAAAGGACTCTTGAGAGTAGTGCAGAGAGAAAAGACAAGTCAGTCCTGCTATGGAATCCCTGGGATACCTGCAGGAGGACAAAGAGGGAAGGTGGGGCACAACTCACAGTGAGCTGGATCATTTGTTGAACACACCATGGGTTGTTTCGCAATCTCACCTGTGTAGCTTATATGCATGGTGGGTCGTTGCGGTGTATGAACCCACCCAGTGTGTGTTACATCCCTGACTTCAACATGTGGTAAGCCAGCCCTTCTGCTTTGGGGCCTTCTTGACCATTCTGCTGAATGGCATCCAAGTTCTGCCCTGACCGCACCACTAGCAGAAATGTTTGTCTTTTTGGATATTTTGTGGCATGTTATAAAACATTTGGAAATAAGGAACTATTAGAGTTCCACCCCAGGCTAGTAAGGTGTTATTTGCAGGACTGAAATCCTATCCTTACTTACCTGAAGATTAGCCTAAGTGAAATCAGTGGGATTTGCCTCTGAGCAAATGTGAATAAGTGTACTGCATGGCTGAAACAAACACCCTGCTCTGGTCTTCATGCACGAGTTCTGAAGCATGGAAAAAGCTACAATGGGTAGAAGAAGTTTCCAACATGTAGCTTTTTGTCATTGTGGCCATTAGATTGTCATCAAAATATGCTTAACCAAGTGACAAGTGGTGAGAACTGAAAGAGAGCACCCTGTTCTGAGAAAGCTTTTATTTAAAATTCCAGCAGTGAAAAGAAAATACAAGACAGAATGGAGGAAAGAACCAGGTACAAAGCCTAAGGGCACAAATATATAGATTATTGCTTTAGCTGCCATCCTTAACATAGCCCACTCTAGAAACATCTTAGAATACACAGAGTGCTGGCCTATAGAGCCAGTGTGATGTAGCAATTCGAATGTTGGAGATGCATGTTCTAGTCCTTGCTCAGACAAGAAGCTCACTGGGTGATTTTGGGCATCCAAAATACAGAATTGTGGGTTGTTGGGGAAGGGACAAATCAGAGTTACAACCTAAAAACAGACTGAGTTACCTTTCCCTAAAGAATCCACAACTGCCAGTTCAGACATCATGATAAGCAATCTAGAAACAGCGTGTACTTGGCTTTACACGTTAACTGCATTGTCCATTAATCCCTCAAAAACTCTTGTGCCTGTTATGTATATTCCCCTGTAGTTCTCCGCATTATTTTTAAATCATAAGCTCCTCAGAGAAGCGCTTGTGACATTGCTTCTTACATTCTTACCACCATGAAGCTGATTTCCTTGGCACTGATGATTAAATAGTAACCGCAGTAAATCAGTAACATGCCAGCCAATAAAAAATTATGCTATCCAATAAAAATAAGTTGAATTATTGTTATACCCTTAACAGACTGAGAAGACTGTTAAAACGATCCACTTCTTGCCCAAGGACAGTAGTTAGAGAGTCCACTCGCCCATTGTCATCCTTGACAAAAAGTGTTTCTGCTGCAGCATCCATGTCAAGTTTCTCTGCAAAACAAATATTCTTTTGATAATCGAGAAAATTCTGTCCAGATTGATACCATACAGCTGGAACATACAGCCAGCTCGTTTTAAAGGAGGACTCTATTTTCAGTGGAATGATTTCCAACTTTTTCAATGTAACTGGGCTTTAGGGCTTGATTCCAGGATCACAGTTCACCCTGATCCACATAAGAGGTCAAGTGGCTGAGGCTCTGCAAAAGCCACAGACACTTCTAAAGCCTCTCAAGGGGGCACAGAACTAAAGGGCCCTTGGCTTGTTTATAAGTATGTGCAGACTGAGTCAGTGGTTTGGTCCACTGACATGTGTTTGTAATAAATTAACCAACTAACTCCTTACAACATGAGGCTGAATGAAGTATCCTGAACCAACACCATACTAAAAAACAAAACAAAACACACACAATTTTATCTGGAGTTGTAGCATTAGGCCAGAAATGTCAGTCTAGGTGACTTACTTGCTATGTTCAGATAGCAAAGCAATCTTGGAAATATGTTTGATGTGGGTTGACTACTACTGGCATAATTTGGAAATCAATGCACTCCTGTTCAGACCTATCAAATGTATGGCCTGTTTATTCCAGTGAGATCTATGTCTGAACAAAATTACAGCCAGCTATTCTTCATGACTCTCTATCATATGGGAAACAGTGTTCTTTATTTCTGGGTTACACTAGCTGAAGACAGATATTGCTGTCAGAATGGCTGACAGATTATTTAATAGGGCTGGCACCTAGTTAAAGGTTTTCATTCATCCATTAACTCCCAGCTCTGAGTAATTACTTGATTAATTAAGGAGATATTTCTTGGATGTTTATTTAAAACAACAAACTGGCCCAGCTAAACAACAAAGATATGACATTTCTGAGCACATGACCTGCTTCAAAAATGACTGTAAATTGTTTTACAACAGTTCCATCTGCATTATATTCTGCTTCTCAGGAAAGTCTCCAATTAAAATCAGAGTCAGTGTTGAATAAATTAATGCTACTGATTAATGCCATCTGCAGAATTATTAGATATGCATTTTTGCCTAGTGTATATTTTTGCTTGCACAATTTTGCAGAGAGCAGCCACTTTCGATGAGAAACAAAGTCCAACAGAGCCACAAGGAGCAACCATGGAATGAATGCAATCTAGTCCAAACTGAGTAGGGATTGGGCAGCTTCATTGTAGGATTCGACCACATGGACAGCTGACTGAAAGGAGAAGTGACCTACAGATGCATCATAAGGGCAGGCCTGGATTGTACTTAGGCTATAAGGCCAAATAAGAGGTACAGAATTCTGAATGAAAATTAAGAAGAAAGTGAAACTTTGTTCCAACAATAACAGTAGAATTGCAAACCATTAGCAACAATTACAGTGTATGGTGAATTGTGCTCCAAAACTATACCTTCAAAATACCTACAGAAAATGTAATAAAGGATGATTAGATTTCCAACAGAAAAGATGCTAATTGATATCAACTGGACCCTCCTACCTTTAACTGGATATTGTTGTTCTGTGCACAACTATGCAAACTCATAATTTCACAACCTGTTTAATCTCTAAACAGATTATATATGGTAATTTCCATATATTAAACTCACATGTAATACATACAGATATAATATTATTTATATTCCATACATACATTCCATATATTATATCTCGTAAGTGGAAATTACTGATTTCCAGATTCATATATCAGGACAGTGAAATTTGATCCAAATTAAACATATTTGACATTTCAGAATTTAGCTAGTAAAGAATTTCTCCAAAAATTAAACAAAAACAACAGAGTTTGTTTTGAGACCAACACTATCTTAAAACTTAACCCATATAAAGCAGATACAAGGAATATTTATGCCACAACAACGTTATCAAAAAGATGTAAATATATTCAGATATGGAGCTAGAATCTCTTCAAACATTCTCTAAACATTTCCAATTTCACCTGAAAACTAGGCAAATGGAATTCCATTGATATATAAACTCTGGGATTCTGTCCCTTTACTATAAAACTTAACACCTCTGAACTGCTCTAGTAGAAGGGAAAAGTATTAGTCAATAATATTATTTATTTATATTTAATTATATTAACATTATTATTTATAATTCAATACGTCTATTGTGTGTTGCAACAGACGTACTACCATGTTTCCCTGGCTGTTGATCTTAACTGGGGCTGATTCTGGGGGTAGGGCTTATATTACAAGCATCCTGAAAAATCATGCTAGGACTTATTTTCCGGTTAGGTCTTATTTTTGGGGAAACATGGTACTCCTCTCTCCCCAACCCTGAAAAAGTTTGTGCTTCTTTTTCAAAAAATCCTGAACCACAAGAAAATACTAGTGCTTTGTCTGGTGTAATCTACAACTTAGGGCATAAGTTGCACATACAAAAATGAATTCTTGTATAATACCAACAAGTGAATATTTCCCAAATTTGAGAAACAAGAAAAACTAGCAATATATCACCAGTGATATTAAGAAAAGTTAGCACTGCCTTCCATACCAGGAATTTTAGCAAGGATTGAACTAGCAAGTTCTTCAACAATCTCATCATTGCTTTTTCCTGATCCTTGGGTTGTTGATCGTGGCTGGACGTCAAGTATTGTAGTGATTAAGGTATTAGTCTCTTTACGCTATAATAAAGAGGTGAGACAAATACATACATTCAAGTTACAAAGGTACATATTTAACTTTTAATATCTTCAAAATAAAGCATTTACTTTTCAATCAAAACTATTTCTGTCTGTGAATTTTTTTTCACAAATGTAATTCCTAATTTACCAATCAGAACTTGCTATATTGTTTTGAACAAACTGCTCCTCATGCTGACAAACACAGTCACAGATATTTTATACGAAAATCATATTATAGTAAAATGGTACTATATTTTGGTTTTTTTTCCAGTGTTTGGAATAATTTGTAAAAGTGCATGCATAGCACATTCTTGAATCTTTATTCCTAATTTCCCAATATAACTATTTGCACTAAGTAAAAATAGTTAACAACTTCCATTATTCTCTAGAAAGTTAATAATCAGCTTTATTAGATATTGTATGTATACATAGTCAAAATATAATCTTACAACATTTTTAAAGTCCACCCCTCCTAATTTGAAAGACATATAGCTTTTGATATTGGCATCTGATAGTTTAAAATACTGAAATGATCTTCACATAAAATATGAAATTTATTTTATGATATTTTAAACATGGAATGAATTCTCTTGGTTAGTACCTGTTTCATTACCAAGATACTTCCCTTTCCAAAGAAAACACAACAGTTGATGAAATACTAGATCTGTGTGCGTATGGTGAACATTAGGTGCTGATAATAGGCTACATGTGCAACAGATGGTAAGTATTCATGGATAACCAATGACATTAAGTTCTCAGGATCTGTAAATATTCAAGGTCTATAGGACAAATAGTTCATGATGCCAACTACCTCTTCCTTGTCACTCCCCTCTTTCCATAGCATGCTGGATTTGGTTTGGATATTCTTACTTGCACAGAACCAGAGTATCTCATAATGCATGAACCAG